TTAAAGGGCGATTGGGGGATTAGGGGACCCAATCGCCAAATCCTGGAGGTGGAGAATCATCATCCACCGCCCTTTTTAGTTCGTGCGCCACTGTAGAGTTATTAATTTATTTTGCAGCAGGAGAGATGAAAAATAAGTACTGACCTCTCGAATACGCGTCGAGCGTGCTGACCACTACACCACGAAGGCATGCTAAGAAGGCGGGAGAAATATCTTATAAGTTCATCATCAGTTATGATTCTTTACAAAAATGCATTAATGTTCGCTTAAATGCATGTTCGGGAAATTCCGATTTAAATGCAGTTTTTCTTTGGTTGCAACCGCACACATCATAATCTTTTAACAATTTATTCTTTTTTTCCATGCTTAAATCTTGTCGCTTAGGTACTTTTGATAGTCTACGAGTTGCGCACAGAGGAAATTTAAAAAAAAAATCTGCTAGTAATGTGTACAAATTCAAAATTTAAGTTTCTAGTCAGCCAAAAGAATATCTGATAAGTATTTCTCCTACTTCATAGTTACAGATGTAACCAATGCTTTCTTTATCTTTCTTTAGCCTACAGAGACAACCCTTCCATTCAAAAACATAATAAATGCAAGGAAGCATTTCATGAAGTTCGTACCCCAACGGAAGGTTTTGAACATAATAGGATGCATGATTCTGATTAAATGGTTTCAGAATTTGCACTTTCACACCCTATCAGTCAAGTCCTGAAGTACACTTACTCATTAACAATGCTTTTTAGGGACTCATTTTGGTAAATATAAGATAAAGAAATTATGTTACTCTCAGCTATATTTTGAACAAAGATCTCGGGAAACAGTGCCTGAGCGGAATTAGGAAAGTGTAGAACACACATCCTTTCTAATCAAGGCATCTAACTACACTAGCAAAAATTTCTGCCGAACTCTTTTATTGAAGTCTGAGGGGAAAATAAGCCACGATCTTAGATAAAGTAAACAGAGGAAATACAAAAAGATTAATCTGGCACTAAGATTCAGTCTTTTGTCTGGCTGAGTTTTATAAGCGACAAAGATGAGTTTAATAAACTTAGTCTTTCCATAGATTAGTATATAATTGTTTTAATTACTAGAACTTGGAATTTAATAAGTGGCTGATTTTATTAAACACCCAGTTTAACAAGCGACGGTAACAGTAATATATAAATAATGGTTATACTGACAAAAAATTTATACATCAAAATTCAAACATAACTTAAAAAGAAATATTTGGCATGTAAAGGCAAGTAATAAGTTTGGCAAGTAAAACTGTTTTGTAGTACCAGGCGCCAAGTTGCAAAATTGCGAAGTAACCAGTATGATTTTTTACAAAATTTGATATTTTTGCTTAACCTGAGGTGTGGAATCTAACTATGGATAAACATCGTCACATCACTTTAGATAAAGATCAGTTTTATGTCAACTACGTACATGTTAGAAATCTGTTCTTTTCTATTACCAACACCTGATTCAGAAATGTATGAATGTATGTATGCAAACATGGATGGATGTACTTAAGTACGAGTATAAATGTTAATATGAAAGTGAGTATATATACGCACACATATACGCAACTGCATACATACATACATTTCCGAATCCGGTCCCGAAACAGAACAGTATAATAAGTCTAATATACAGGGTGGTTATTATTAAAGTACAACTTTGAAATTGTCATAAAAGGAAAACTACTGAACCAAATGCTATCAAACTTTATAATCAAGTAATTAATCGTGTAAAGAAGTCATGGGAATTTATTTTCCCTGAAATAAAAAATATTTAAAAAAACTCACCACCAGGGGGGAAATGGTGCTGTATGCAATATTTTTAAACTAAATAAGACATGAAGATATCGGTTTAAAATGTGTTTAATCGTTTCTTAAACGTGTTATAAAGCATGTTTAATGTGGCGTTCACCATTTTCCGAAAGCAAGTTAAATCGTATTACTGCATTCTCAACAGCAGCCCTTAGCATATCAGAAGGAACGTTACGGACATGTCGGTGTATCGCATCTTTCAATTCCGCCAAATTGTCTAGATAATCACCATAAACAGTGCTTTTGAGATAACCCCCATAGCCAAAGGTCACAGGGGTTTGAGGTCTGGTGACCGGGATGACCAAGAAGTAGGGAGGTGTCGGCCTATAATCTTTTCATTCTTGAAATGTTGCCTAAATAACTGTGTGACACATGTACCAATGTGCGGTGGGGCTCCGTCCTGCATAAAAATCGTAGTGTCTAAAATGCCACGTTGCTGCAGTTCAGGTATCACGAAACGTCTTAACATTGACGCTAAGCGAGCTGCAGTTACAGTGCATGTAACAGTTCTAGCTATCGACTGCTCTTCAAAGAAAAATGGTCCAATTATGAAACTAGCTGTCATACCATACCAAACGGTGACTTTAGGAGAATGCAATGGAACTGGGTAGATAACATGACCGATTTTTAAGAAAGCGATTTCTGGGAGTGCGCACACTTTTGTGAGTGGTTCGCGATCTCAATTCTAATCTCTAATTTGTGGTTTTTAAGGACAGATTTCTCCGTTACACGGTTGGCGCACTCGACTTTTATCTCCTTTAAACGGTAGTTTTGTTTAGGTGAATGTAACGTTCTTAAGGGTATAAAACATGTTAAACCCGTATAGCAAAAGGTTAAGTTAGATTCTGACCCTTATTTCGTTTAACAATATTGCATACAACGCCTTTTTTCCTCTGGTGATGAATTTTCAACTTTACTTTTTTCCCCGGAGCATAAATTTCTCTCGACCTCCATTATACGATTACTAAGTTTGATAGCATTTGGTACATTAGTTTTCCTTTTATGACCATTTCAAAGTGGAACTTTAATTATAACCACCCTTTATATCCTAATCCTAGGTCGCATTTTTGAAAGACGAAAAGTGCAATTTAAAATTTTATCAATCTCGGCCAGCCTAGAACAAGAAATATGGACGCTGTGCTCTTTTCCCACCTCAATATGACAAAAACATAAACATATACATAATAAACCTGCATATATAATACATATTTAACTGATTTATAAACGACTTAAATATTTCACTACATTAGTCAATAAAGTGAATTTTTTTTAACTTTTTGTTGAATCAAAAGAGCAAACAGATTCTATAATTTAAAAAGTAACCACACAGCTTTAAACTTCTATTTCTGATGAACAGCCATCTTTTTCAATAACACAGTTGTATACTTTTGAAATTCAATTCAGGAAAATTTTTGACATAAAATATTCAGTAATTTTAAGTTTAAAGATAGATAAGTTTTATTATGTCCTTATTCTCTATGTCATAAATCTGCTCTGGTGGGGGAGCAATTATAAATTTTAACAACATCCTAATTTTAATGTTTCCTAGAAAAAAATAGCAAATTAATTTTTAACAAAATATAGGAGAATTTTAGATAATATTAAAATCTTGTTTAGCGATTACGTGATCGTTATCTACAATGGTCATCACAGAAATTTTTTCGACTTTTTATAACTCAAAATTTTGATTTTTTTAATTTTTGTAATTATCAAATGTAATACAAACAATGACTAATTTCCCTTAATTCATTATAATTAAACATAGACCCACTAATGAAATATTACCTTCTTTAAATCAAACTATGCTTTTTAATATTTTTAAGAGGGTGTTATTTTTTATTACTGAAAATAAAGTGTTCTGTACAAATAAAGTTCGGTAACACAAGAACAAGTTGTAGCTAATCGACGATACACAAGATCTTTTCGATGTTAATAAATATGCTTTCCTCATCATAAGTAACGCAGTGCATCATTTGAAAAATAATTTTAAGTACAGTTCTTAATAACTCTTCGCAGCTGGTGTTGTTTTACATCACATATGTGATAAATTAAATGCATTTGTATCATCCTTCATTACATGAATTACATACACTCTATATTCCGTGTATCTAATGTCCACGTCCAAAATGAAATGAAATAGTTTTAATTAAATTTTCTCGAAACTAGTCTTCTATATGTAATTCGTTTTTTTAATTTTATTTAAACTTTTTTTTAATATTTTGTATTTTTATGTTCATAATATTTGCGCACCAAAAACGAAATGTACAAATAAAGACAGGAAAATTCATTGAATCAAAAAATCTTTTTTAATTGTTTTGACGGTCATCAACAGTAAAGATTTATTTTCATCAGGTGGTAATATGAATTATTTTTAATTTAACATGTGAAGAGAAATATCTATATAATTTAATTATCTTCAAACATAATTTTTAATTAAAAAAAATCTTAAGTGACAAATTCTTTTTTGAAGGGTTATAATCCAAGAATCTTAGAATTTTAGATTTTTCTGATTTACTAATTATTCCAAAGTAATTAATTTTTATAGATTAATATTTAAAATTGGTATTATAAATTATTTAAAACTATTTTAAATTGTAAATATTATTGATGTGAAAAAATTTCTTCAGTAAGTCTTTTACTGAAACATATATTCCTCTAGATGAGAGCGCTTTTATTTTATTTCCACCGAAATTAGATTAATATCCCAAGCAAATAAAATTCTGTTAGGGATGCTGAGATTAAGAAGTGCTCCTTATAATCAATGAATCACAGACACGGAAGAACTAGGATATATTCATAAAACTATACGTTTCTTTTAAATAAAAAGGAATTGAGCTGCGCTTGTGAGTTATATGCTTATAGTTTTAACAGATGGCGTGACATTTGCCGTCAGGTAAATTTCCCTTTTTCGGATTTAATAGGGAAATTTTTATTCGACAAGTGTTAACCATATCTACCCATAGCAACAAAATTTTCTCCTCTTCCTAGATTTGGCATCATCCAAATTCATGGAAAAAAAATCGCCAAGCTCAAAACTTAAATAATTATTGAATGCAAAAATCTTACCTTTTTTTTTAAACTGCATATAGTATTAACTAAAATGAATTACTCAATATATAATATTAATCATATAACAACTAAAATTTATGAACGAGTTAAACATTATCATATGAAAATACTTACTTCTTCGGAAGATCGTTTGGCCATTTTGTCGAAAATCGATGCGGTAAGCAGTCTTTCCGTTTACACAGTAATGCCAGTCGAAATTACAATATTACCTGCACAAAACGCCTCGAATCTAAAGGTTTAATTTTATTCTGTGTTATCATACATTTTCGTCATTTCTGACGTATAGCAATGCGCTTCAATCTTTCTCTCTGACAGTCACAGGAAAGCCTTACTTCAGGATTGGGGAGGAAAAATGTCTATCTGGCCTCCGTCGCCCCTCATGACGAAAATTTCCCATCATCCCCCAGACGCTGGGAAGGGGATAGGAGGTCCGGACCTATCCTGCAATTCAATGGACTCTTCCAGTAACTAGAAGTCCGGTAAATTAGTTATTCTTGCTATCCAACATTATATTAGCATGCAAGAGCTAGTGCATATAAATGCGAGATAAGAGCAGGGTTAGCAATCATGGTTAAAGATATTTACAAAGTAAAAATATTCTATAGTAAGAACGTCATAGAAATAAAAAAAAAAATTATAAATATTTAACTGCATTTTATGGTTTTGTTATTGTTAATTTATTAGTTTAAAATATTAGACTCAAATTCAGAGTCAAACAACAAAAATCAGCGTTAATTTACAAAATTTTCACAGGACTAGTTTCGATGGTTTTACCGAACCATCATCTTCAGCTGCAAAACCGCAAAATGTCCTGTGAAAATTTTGTAAATTAACGCTGATTTTTGTTGTTTGACTTCTGAATTAGTATTTATTCGGCGTGTTATTGTGTCTTAATTATTAGACTCAAATTAGTATAAACATAACTAAAATACAGATTATTTCACAATTTACAAATAATTGCAAATTATTCCAAAATAATTTATTAATATCTCGAAGAGTGTATTATCTTCAGTTTGCGAATAATCAGTATTACAAATAGCATAGTCAGTGCAATAAGTCATAATAGTCAGTGTAACTAATGTATAGAATTCATCTAACCCCGATTATTGCAAAAGGAATGACTTGCTAACAGATCAACAGACTGAGAAATACTGATTCATACGAAATGGATAAAGAAAACAATGTAGGGATTAAATTTCTCTCATTCTGCATAATACCAGTTATGTTACTATGTAAATTTACGTTATAAAATTTTAATTTAGAGATTAACTTAAGTTTTTGATTTATTTCATTTTAGCAAAGCACAATAGGGCTACCTGCCTCACGAAAGGAATGCCTGGGAAAATTACGAACACTATTATGTAATCAGCTTCTTCACTGGAGTTTAAACGCAAATCGAACTATCCGAGCTAGGTGATTTTACTGTTCGGTAAGCTGAGGGAGCTTGTTTGAAGATCAGCATAAACAAATTCTTCGCTTAAGTGAAGAATTTTATTAACATTTGTAAAAAAATAATTATGATTTTTAAAAAACTCTATTGTTTTAACATATCACAGTCACAGACATGCAAACCTCTTAAACAAAAAAAATAAGAAATACCTTTGAGAAATCAAGTGATTTTTTTCCCATCAACCGAAACAATTTTTAGGCAGCAAAGATGTATAAAAGAAAATTCCCTTTAAAAAAAAAATAACCATTTATAAATACTATCCAATTAATATTTGAAAATGTAATATATAAATTTTTAATGCAAATAGAACAAACAATCATATATTTAAAAATACTTTTACTATTTGAAACGTTTTATATAAACATTATATTTCAATCCATTTTCATGTAATTGTTAACAGCGATACCATATTTTGCTTTTTTTAAGAAAGAAGCATCCTTATTTTGCTCCTATCAATTGCCAAGTATGCCTGTTTTTGCTAATAAAAGTTTTTTCAGTATATCATTATTCGATCTGGATCTAGATTTAGTTTACTTTTTAAAAACACTACTAAAAATTCTCTCACATTTGGCGTTATTATGGGAAATTGTCAAGACGGCCAATATTATTTTAGCGAGCTCACTATATTTAAATTCTATCAAAACTTTCTAGTTTTCAACTAGACTCCCTTGAGAATCAGTTCTTGTAGATTTTTTTAACTTTATCCAAGTTTACAAATTCTAAATTGTGACCGAAATTTACCTGATGCAACGTATATTATCCTCTTTGAAACCTAAGCGAAATAAAACTGGAATCTACTCATAAATTTCTTACATCAGGAAAAGACCCACTTGCTAGAATACAAACATTTGCAATTTCAGCATGCAAAATTACTTCACATTTAATGGAAACTTACACAGTATATAATTATATACACCGCAGAACTAACTTCTAACATCTAATCAAAATTTCTTTTTTCTTCATTAGGAATCTCTTCAACTACTTCATTTGCTAAAGCTCCTATTAACTTACAGCAATTATTTACAGCGAACGCATTAAAAATAAATTAACTCAGATTTCTAGATTTACAGCCCTTTCGCGCTAAAAAAAAAAGAAATAAAAAAGAAATCAAATAAATAAAAGATTAAAAAAACACTTAAAGCTTTCTAATTTAATATTTATGGCCAAAAGTGCTTTTTTTTTATTTTATTTATTTATTTTTTTTATTTACATGCACATACATGGTTTGAAGAGCAGATGGGCTAATGTGTCTTTGGGACAAAAATATTTAAAACCCAGCATATCTTTAGAATTCCCGATACACAGTCTCCCGCGTTGGAGAAATAAATGTTTTTTTTTTTTTTTTTTTTTTTTTAGTTCAAAGGAGCTTTCTCCCTGAAGGACTATTATTTTCTTTTTGCGATTTTGCATTAGTTTAATATAAATGTCGTTTCACTTTCTAAACTCTTGCCACCAAATATTAGAGAGCCCACCAACGGCCGGTTGCTAAAGTCGCTGAACACTTTTGCTAGTTCGGTCTGAGGTTCGAATCACGCGAACGGGCTGGCTGCATGAGCGTTTTCGTGGTTTTCCCCATGTGTAACGAGTATACGAGCCAGTTTCCCTTAGAAAGTCCTCTACGAAGGTATCCCTCCCCTTAGGCAGATAGCTCTAGTGTGCTTTGCCACAATTAAATAAACCAAACCAAATGTTAAGGTCCTGCATTATATTCGAAGAAATTAAATAATGAAAAATCTCCATAAATTTGGGTATATTTCTCGCATTGTGATAAAACAACGGTACATAGAGCCATCGAATTTTAAATGACGTAATCTTACTGCGAATATGGCCATGTTGAAGCCCAAATTTGAAATTTGGAATTTGTTTTATGATCAATTTCCTATTTTGTAAAACTTTAACGAATTTTTGATTAACAAACTCAAGGATTTCAAAGCGAGCCATGGCAACGTTGTATAGAAAAAACATTTTTATCTCCAGCGCGTGAGACTGCTTATCGGAAATTCTGAAGATATGCTCAATTTATAACTATTTTGCAAAATTGCTCTTGAACTGAATTTTCTGGTTTAAGTGCGAAGAATGTGATATTTAATAAATAAAGGTAACATACCCCTTTGGGCGTATTTTAAAATCTGAAACCTTTCAGATTTTTCTTTAACGTACAGCATTGCCATTCCTTGCTTTTAAATCGCTGAGTTTGTTTATCAGAAATTCGTTCAAGTTTTACTAAATATGAAACAGATAATGAAAACAATTTCAATATTGGGCTTCCAGGTACCCATATTCGGGTGGAGGACTACGTTATTCAAAATTTGATGGCTCTAGAAACCTTTGTTTTTTCACAGTGCGAGAAACGTACATACATTCATGAAGATTCTTCATTATTTTAATTCTTTAAATATAATACAGGGCAATAGTACTTGATGGCAACAATTTGGAAAATGAAACTAACATTTATAGTGTGCGTGTGTGTGATTATGGCAAAGCCTCTAGGGCTATCTGCCTAAGGGTAGGGATGCCTTCGTGGAGGACTTTCTAATTGAAACTGGCTCGTATACACGTTACACACGTTTACGTGGGGAAAACCACGAAAACGCCCATGCAGCCAGCCCATTTGCGGGATTCGAACCTCGGACCGAACTACCAGTGTTCAGCGACTTTACCGCTCGGTCGCTGGTGGGCAATATTTATAGTGAACCGGTACGAAATGCCGTTTTGACACTAATAACCGTTCTGGGTTAAGGCCCCTTTGGACTAATAATAATAATAACAATAATAAGGTTAAAAAAGTCTGAAAGGTTTCAGATTTTAAAGGTCGCCCAAAAAGGTTTGTTAGTGTTTTATACGCTTTCGTCGAGCTTGCGGTCTACCACTCTGCTGTTACACTCACTCCTACTAACGCATTCCTTTTACAATTTTAGATTCATTACTAAGCGTCATTGATATTCGGGGAAGGATTAAGTTATTCAAAATTTGATGGCTGTATATACCGTATTTTTTTGCATTGCGAGGAGCATGCATATATACCGATTCTTCAATATTTAATTTCTTAAAAAATATTACAGGGCGATAATATTTGGTGGAAACAATATGAAAAATAATACGTCATTTATAGTTAACAAGGCAAAATCTCTGAGACTAACAGCCCCTATTGAGCTAAGAAATAAAGAAAGAGAGAAAGAAAGAAAATCTCTCAAAGGAAATTCATAGTTTAAGGTTATTTATATTTTCATTTGCTGAGCATCGCAATTTACCAATCTTTTCTTAAACTCAAACCTTCTGACTTCCACCTACTTTTTTCGAGGGGCGGTCTTCTTAGCTGTATTATTTAGCATCGCTTTCTTCGCACTTAAATTCAAGTGCAAAATCCCAAAATATATACCATATCTTTAGAATTCTCGATAGAATGCTAGCGATAGCCATACAAGTTTTTTTTTTTTTTTTTTTTTTTACTGTAGCTGCATAATTTATTGCAAAGTTATCAGGTTCAATGTTCCTTCTAACCTTCTTCGGGAACATACAAGGACCTGACTCGGAACAGAGAGCTTACTAAAGCTATGTTCACTAATTGTGGTAAGTAGACAGGATACAGACGAAGGGTATACAAAACCCTTTATTTTTCTCTATATACAATAACTTCCGTACTTCGGAATACAATGACCCGCCACTCGGGGTCTAACGTAAAAGTATAAAATAAAACTAAACTCTAATTTAACTTTAGAATAATACACGTGGAAGATTGGCCTTA